CCCCCCCCCCCCCCGCCCTGCAATGCATTCCCACCAAGTCTGCCCATCTGCCTGTCTTTCTTCTCCACTGCTGGGAAAGTCTGAAAAGGGTGTTGGAGGCTCACCCGGAGCCAGATCAACAGGGAACATCCTGGCATCCTCAGAGGTTTTCCTTTTTCACCTGAAGCCTTGCACCTTCGGTCCAGGTGCTGTGAGTTTCAGGCCTCTGGTGCAAAGAGGCTGATGCTGACTCACAAAAAACATGGGTCCCAGGCCTCGGGGCATACCCCACTGAAGGGAGGGTTGGACTCAGCAGCTGCATTGCTCTAAACCATGCTGCAACTGGGTGTTGAGTTAGTGTGCTGCAACAACCCAAACATTGTGATTTGTAATCTAGTGTTAGGATTCCTGGGGCAGCTAAAGTTCTGGTAGATCTCCAGAAAGAAACTCTTTCTCCCCCCCCACCCCCCACCCCGTTTGCAATACAGGCAGTCCTCGATTTATGATCACAAATGGAGCCAGAATTTCCATTGCTAAGCAAAGTGGTTGTTAAGAGAGCCAGGCACAAAACCAAACAAGTCGCCTGACTCTCGGGTCAGACTACCCTCCCACCCTCCCTCTTCCACTGCCACCTTCTCAAGTTGAGATGGCCAGGATGGGGCCCAGGATCTGCTGCAGCCGCGGGGTGGCCGTCCCTGAGAGAGCAGCCCATCCAGGGCCCTGCCTAGACTCCCCGTGCTCAGCAAGGCACAGAGCACAGACAGGGCGCTTTCAAAGAAGAGACCCCCGAAGCAGGGAGGAGGAGGAGGAAGGAGGAGACGAGCAGAGAGCCGGCCAGAATCCCAGCTCCCCACTAGTGTCTCCTGCCTCTCGTGTGAAATCCAAGCTTCCCCCAAGAGGAGAGCAAATCGCCTTGAACCAGCTTAGAGCCGTTCTCCATCTAGCCAGTCCTGCCTGCTCAGAGCGGCAGCAATTTGAGGGTCTCAGCAGAGAACAAGTTTCCTCCTCCTCCTCCTCCTCCTCCTCCTCCTCCATCATCATCATCATCATCATCATCATCATCATCATCATCATCATCATCATCATCATCACAGAGATGCTCCTTTCTATGGGCAGAGTCCCTGTTTCCAATTTGCTTCAGGAAAGTTAAGATGCAAACACGCCTGAACTCAAATCTTCTCGCATCAGAGACTTTTTGTCCTAGAGGAGAGCAGATGCTCTCTGCACATGCTCACCCATTCTAGGCTCACTGTTTAAAATATCCCAAATAATTTATTTGGGGATGCTGCACTGTCTTTTACAAGATCCTTTTCGTTTCCAGACAGGCTTCCTCTCTCTGTCTCTCTCTCTGTGTCTCTGTCTCGCTCTTTCTCCCTCTCCCTCCAATGAATTTTCCACTCCTCTCCACTCTCCCAGGCTGTTTTTGGAAGTGTTGAGGGGTAAGAAGCCTCATGTGAAATCTGTGCATCGTTTCGACTGATGACAGCATTCCTGCAGCCCTGGATGCCTGCACACGGAGCCTGGCATGGTGTCGGACCGCCAACTCCCCCCCCATTTCAACTTCCTGCTGTATTTATAAATACGCCCTGACTGACAGCCGAGAGCCAAACAGCAGCTGAGAACTTTCTGCAGCAGATGGAAGCCGGCAGAAGCCCTGGCATGTCCCAAGTTCTGTCATCCAGGAGACTGCGGAGCGGGAAGGTGGCACGGTGGGTGGACGCCTTTCTGAGCCTGCCCGGGAGGGATGCCACCCAGAGTGCAGGCTGGCCAAGTGCTCAGGGCATGGGAGGGCATCGCAGGGGCTCTGAACCACAGGGTTACGAAGCCACTTGGGTTATGGACAGTGATTGTCTTCCCTGGCACAGATACAATTGCATGCCAACCTGTTCACTAGAGCCATTTTGCATCCTCCTCATTTCCTGCAGATCCAGAAGATCCCATTCTGGTGACCAAGGGGGGTTCCTTCAGAGGAGGGCAGGTCTTTATGTCCACTGCCTTTGTGGCAGAGGGGAGGGGTGGAGTGCCCCAGGCTGCAGCCCAAATGAGGCCCCATGAGGAAGAAGAGGCTTGGGGGAGCACAGAGGTGTGTGGTGGACCCCGCCCAAATAACAAAACAAGTAAGACAAAGAGCAACTGGCCTCTTCGGCTTCGAATCTCTTCAGGCAAGGAAGAGACCTGAACTGGCCGTTCAGAGACAGACACGTGCTCCAGTCAGTTGCCTCCCTTGGACTCGGCAGTACTGAGAATACAAGCCTTGCCAGAAATAAAACCTGCAAATTAAGCTCATGCTTCTCTCTTGCATCCCCCCCTCCCGTAGGTCAGAGTGGAAAGTGCCCCCATGTCTCATTCTCGCAAGAACCCTGCAAGGGAGAGCTAGGCTGAGGTGTGGAGCTGGCCCTCGGTCTCCTGGGGAAGGTCAAGGCTGAGGCCGGGAGGGAAACGGGGCGTCCTTTGCATTCAGCCCCTTGGCATTAATGGGGCAGGGACTCGGCCCTCTGTGCCCCTGGGGGACGGGAGTGTGGAGGGCGGGCACAGCAGCCGTTTTAGCCTCCCATTTTCAGAGCTTCACTTCTCCAGCTTTTGCAGAGCAACAACTAATGGGAAACAAATGTTGGAAAGCAGACAAAACTCGCAGCAGTTGGGACATATTATTTCGTCCTCCCCCCAATTCCCTTCCACACCCCAGCAATGTCCCTGCCTCTTTCCTCTGAGTCATCCCCAGGATGAACCAACCAGGGACAATTGCAGTTT